AAATATATTCAAATGCAAGTTATCTGCACTGGTTTGCCTACGGAGGTACTGTACTATTTCACCTCGCGCGTTCGTCTTGTCCATCTTCTTGATGATCGATAGCTATTGGGAGTATAAAAAGTACTTTGAAGCTACCTCACCTTCGAATGGTCATTGATAGACATCTTGGAGCCAGAAAGAACTGAACTCCTTGATTCACTAGATTCTCACCAGCGACTATGACTTTTCGAGACCGTTGCCATGTTGTGACCGCGACCCAGAGCTGCAAAGCCAGACAATGTTGCACGAGCCGAGCATTACGCCGGTCTCATGTGTCCAGCCGTGATCTCACCTATTGTAGGCTAAGAGCATAGCAGAATTCGAGCTCGTAGCTTGTATTATCGAGACATCTTCATGTAGTGAAGATTAGGTCTCTCAATCGTGCTCCTCCTCAGTCACTCCTGGACATCCTTCCATGTCGGCATCAGGGTATTCGTATCCGCAGTACAGACAGTAATGGTACTCTTCGCGAAGGAATACCAGAAGCTTCTGTAACCGCTCTGCCACGGGCAAGGCCTCAAATTCTGCCAGCTCTGGATCTTCATCCTCAAGCTCGTTTTCAAGTGTAGTGTAGAACGGCGCAAGATCTCGGCCTTGTGCTATCTTCGAGTCGTCGTCATCGTCGTCTGGGGCTAGCGTGGGTAATCGCGACGAGATGCTGTTATTCAGTTCTCGTCGTTGCTGCTTGTCGCGGTTCTTCTCGACCCTGCGCCGCGCACGAACACGCCAAAGGACGTTGATATCCTTCAGTGGTTTCTCGCTCGTGTCTGGCGCGCCTTTTTCTTCGGCCTTCTTGTCAGACAAGCGCTCGGCTGTCCTCTGCGCGCTGTCCAAATCCCGTTCAGCCTTCTTCTCTTTCTGTTCCTGGCGCATTATCTCTAGGTAATCACCCTCTTCTTCCTTTGCGCGCTTGGCCAGTCGATCTGCTTCCTCGAACTGTTCTCTGAACTTGCGCTTCTTTTCCGACTCAAGACCAATGCCTCCTCTGTCGTCTTTGGGGTTGACTCGTATAGGCTCTTTGCGCGCATCTTCGGACTTGCCCAGAGCATCGCCCTGCTTGAATCCAAATTTGGCCATCATCTTGAACCCCTTGTTGGTCTCAGGCAGAGCAGTGGCGAGGGCAGCTTCTCGTGCAGCTTCGGCCTCTTCTTCTCGTTCGGCTTTGGTCTTCTGTCGCGCTTTGGCTTCGCCCTGTCCATGTGTCAGTCTGGCACAATTCCGCAATTCCACTCGACGCACCTCTTTGCGCTTGCGCGCGGCGCGCTGGAGGGAGGTCTCGTACTTTGGCCCCTTTGGCGCATCCTCAAACACCATATTCATGTAGTCATCCTCCTCGTCCGATTGCGCCATCTTGTGCTAGTGAGTTGTGAATAGTCTAAAAATTTGTGTTGTCGACTCGGGCGCCTTAACTTGCAGGACCGCCCGCAGCGGCAGCGACCCACCTTCGTAGCGTTCCCTTGGCATATGTCAGGGCAGGCGATCCCCCAGAGTCTTCTTTCGACCACATCTCCTCGCCCAGCCTGCTAAATGCCATCGGCCCTCAGTCAGCGCTATAGTGACGCATCGCGCATTCTATCGCGGGTGCACATTAGGCCTCCCAAACGACCTGTGTGCATATTAGGCCTTCCAAACGATCTCGTCTCCAACCGCAGACTCGGGAGGCTCGAACAATGACTTCCGCCACCTACGTTCCTTGGGGGAAAGGGCTGGGCCGGCCCTAAGTGCCACACAAATCGAATTGGACACGACCTGAACCGCAGATGGCGGGTGTTTCGGATGCCAAGGCAACCCCTGCTCGATGTTGATTTAGACGACTTTCAGTGCGACGGAGCCATCCGCTTGTATGCTTTGTCCTAGTGTGTATATCAAGATGCAAAGATACAGCCGCTTGCTGGGTGTTGGGGTTGATTTCGGCTCAAGCCCATGATTTCGGCTTTTCGCCTTCATGTGAATGAGGGGGCTGGTGATTCTCTTACCTGAGGCAATAAGCCTCTGCTCACCTGCTGATTTAGACGGCTTTAGATTATTTCCTCACTGCAACAAAGAGGCGCGTCTCCCGAATTCAGATCGACCACCGACAAGCATTGGCTTACATTGGTTGCCGCTTCAGGGGGTTTCTCCACCTCTAACCTCAAAAGGTGCAGGACCCGCGCTACCGTCTGGGGTCAACAACGATCCCTCGCACTGCTCGGGCTGTTCAATATGATCGCGTGTCACTCGAGTCAACGCCTTTTCGCCTCTGGTTGTAGTAGGACGAGCCAATCCAGATAGACGGACATTGCCGAGCAGCTTAGAGCTTCATGCAGACCTATCCACTCACGGCTCTTCGGCGCCCTAGGTTACAAAATGTGGCCGCATTCTTCAGACATCCCTCACGCATGTGCCAGTTGATCCTTCAATTGCCTGCGCTGCCTCGGCTTCGTAATGAGACCGGATAGGTGGTGAGTGCTTCGGAGCGTATCCGCAACAGGCTACTTTCTCGGGCAACCCGTCATCTTCATGAAAATCGCTAAGAGGCCTGTCACTGATCGTACCCTTTTCGACATTCGCCTTGCCATCGGTGCACAGCCAATTGGTATTTGGCGTAAGAGGGGTCTCGGTCGTTTTCGCGCATGTGCCAGTCTCCTACACATTCCCCAGCTTTTGACATCCACAAGGTGTGCGTTCCCCGCGTACCTCCGCGTTCATACCGTCCTTGGAAGTCTTGGTGTATTTTCTTATTTCTACTTAATTCGCGTGCGACACCCTGCGGGTCTGTCCCCTGAAGAACCCACAGTCGCTCTGAATCGCCATCAACCGGTGGGCGACAGAGTGATCGAACTGTACACAACAACCTCTTTACACTTCACACAAGACCGTCAATATGGAGAGCAAAGACGGCGGAGCGACACGGGCGGACGATGTGTATACAACGCCCCAGAAGAAAGGCGGCGTTATGAATAAGCTCTACCCGCCAGGGCCCACGCCAGGCGCCAAAGGGCGTATGAAGAACCACTGCAGAAAGTTTTGGTGGTGTGGTAAGTCCCTCCCGACAGCCTCAACGTACTTCGTGTTTACATTACGTCAGATTGCCTGGTCCTCGTGATCATTGTGCTGGTCATCGTTCTGCCAATCATATTTGTTGGCATACCAAATAAGGCACAGCACGAGATCAACTCTTCTACACTCGAAGTTACTGCTCAGGAAGTTACCAACCCGCAGCAGAACGGTGTCCACCTGAAGATTGATACAGTCATCAGGAGTGGCAGCAGTTATCACCCGAAGATTGATAGTTTCAAAGCTGGACTATCGCTACCAGGACAAGACCCTTTCATCTACATCACCATACCCGAAGCGAAGTCTGAGGCAGAGACCCGCGTCACCGTCGACCAAGATGTCATTTTCGCGAGTGATGTCGAGTTCTCCAGTTACACCAAGGCTGTGCTTGACAGCGAGACCCTCCAAATTCACCTTGACGGCAAGACGAACATCCACCTCTCCGGCCTGCCTACCATGGACGTCGATTACAACAAAGTCATCACGATGAAGGGTATGTCTCATTGAAGCTACAGTAAGAACTAGTCTAATCGTGTTTGCAGGACTAAACAAGCTCTCCGGACTCAACATCAGCGACGTGCGCATTCTCTCTGGCACAGACGAGATCCTTTCCGATGGCTCCAACCTCATTGCCAACGTCAGCATTCCCAACCCCTCTGTCATGACCCTCGACCTAGGCAACATCACCATGAACCTAGCCGTCGACGGCACCGCAATTGGCTACGCACTCATTCCAGACCTTTACCTCAAGCCCGGCGACAACGTGTTCCCTTTACAGAGTCACGTCGATCAGCTCGCTATCTTGGGCCTGATTCAGAACAAGTACAATGATGCTGTGCTGCCGCTTGAGATTGTGGGTAACTCGAGTATCAAGGATGGTCAACATTTGACCTACTATGAAGATGCGATCAAGAGCAATACGATCAACCTGAATCTCGATGTCGGACCGGCATTGGCTGATATTGGGATCAACATCACCAGCTTTGGAGGCTCGTAGATTGCCTAGCACTGTCGCAGTACTTTTGCATCCTTGCTTTCCGAGGTCATTCACGAAAGGTTGGCGAAACGGTGATGTGCGCTTGCTTTGATACCATCGCTTTGATGATTGTGTTTATGGAGGGCGGAGTGGTTAATATATGATACCTTGTCGTTACAGTAATACATAATATTACTAAACACATGCGCCTACGCCTTTCAACCGTCTCGGAACATGGGGTCTTCTTACTTTTACCACGGGAAAGCGAAAGGCTACTCGCTCAAACATCTCGATTCTCAACATCTACCCTGAGTTCTGAGAGTGATGCCCTTCGTTCTTTGATATAGTTAAAATAGAGTTGAGATATGTGATCTATCAACCCACGCGAATCTTGCACTGAGCTTGCCGGATCTGTCCAGAGTTCTCTCCCAGAACGACGATATCCACCCGTCACTACTACTTCTGCTACGGCAGACCTTTTTGAAGGTATCAAGGGATAAATCACCACACGACGCTCAGCCTCAGCTCTTCCGTTCACAACACGGTCCTTGACCTCAGAACGAGATATCGACATCGCGAAGACATCGATTCCTTTGTCATCACTGGTCGAACGTGCTGTTTGAACGTTTTGTCGTTGACCTCAGAACACTAGTCGATATCACGAAGACATCGACCTCTTGTCATCACCGGTCGGAGCCGCTATCCTGTTTCGTTTTCTTTGACCTCAGAACAGACCGTAGGGCGGTGGATCGTTTGGTAGCGAGCGCAGTTTACTTCCTTGGTAGCGAATACTACAACTTCCCACCACCCGTGAACCTCACATCTCCCTCATGATTACCTGTTCTTCTCATCATTGCATCCACATGACCCCTTATCACCTCCCATATGATGATGCACCATGCAGTAGCAAACCATCCCCTCACTTCTGACCCCACACCCATTGATCTTCTCAACCCTCAATCTCCCATTCGTCGGCAAGGAACTCCACAATGTTCACTGCGGCCTGCGAGCCCACCGCACCTTCCAGCTTCTCCATACTCCCCGGAACACCAGAAGCAGCACCTAGAGCCAGTACGACGAGTTCCTTTAGACTGCCCACAACGTCGCTCAGAGCGATGACTTGCGCTTGGCTCAGAGGTGGCTCGGTTGTGCAGTAAGGGAGCAGGTCGTTGACTGCATTGCCAAGGATGCGGGATGGTTGGCGTGGCGGCGGTGGCGGGACGGAAGGCGCGTTCTGAGCTTGGCGAGGGAATTGGGGGTGGTGACGTTGCTGAGAGGGGATGGTTCTGTTGTTGAACGCTTGCGGATAGTAGTCCGCTCCACCGTCTAGTTGAGCAGGGGCGACAACGTTCATGGAGCGCATTTCTCCGCTTTCGATGATGGGCTGCTCTTTCTCGTCGGGACAAGGCGCAGTATCGCTGGTGTGGTACAGAAGACCCATACCGAGGGTAAGCAGATGTGAGTCTCCGAGGCAATGGGGGATGACCTGGTGTCAGAATGGTTGAGGGTGTGTCTCTGAGATATCTAGGGAGTGCATTCTTTGTATGTGGCCCTAGTCAGTGCCTGTGAGCTAAGCTTCTTCTTGTAGAAGGTGCGTGAGTTGCGACGGAAAGAGCGACCAGCGGATGTAGACAGAACGTCAAATCAGGACATGAAGCTAACAACAGAAGATTTTGGGAGCGCGAAACTATGGAGAATGGAAAACTTCATGCTTCTATCATTGTGTTGGGTATATGAGAGGAGTGTGTCCAAGTGGCGCTTTCGACATGGTATAACCATGAGTCGAGCCTAGAAAATGTATTCCCGTATGATGTACATATCTACGCTTCCCTGGTGTACATCCCTAGATCCTTATGTTGTGAGGGCTTATCGGCTGACGACTGCTCTTGCATTGCGGATGTAGCATTTGTCGATTGGGTGGCATCGCGTTGAGCCTCGACAGATACTGGCTTCGCTTCGGCGCTCACTGCTTCAGGCTTTTTGTCTTCCTTCTTTCCACTGCCCGTGAAGAACCCTAGTATCTTTGAGGAAGCAGGCTCCGGGTGCTTCGCCTTGAACTCCTCAAATTCTGCCTTGACTGCTTTGAGCTCAGCCTGCACCTCCTCCAAGTCTTCTCTTATATCGTCTCTGGCATTGCGTGCCTTCCTTCTTTGTCGCCATTGCTCGACAAGAATTACAGCGATTCCAACAGCAAATATAAATGTCTCGGCAGCGAAGTTGGCGCCCATCTCGATGGCTTTTTGTTCGGATAGAGGTCGAATACGGGGCTTGATTCTCTCTTCAGTCTTCTTCTTGATAGCTTCTCGTTCCTTCTCCGTGAGCGCCTCCTCCGCCTTCATCTCCTCTTCAGTAAGAACCGTTGGGGCGGCTGCTTTTTTCCGCGCAGCCTCTGCTAATTGGACTTCCTTCTTAATCTGTCTGTCGATAACAGCCGGGTCCTGGAGGAGGCCGAGGCGCATGCGCATATCGACGCGATGCAAACCTTGGGCGAATTTGACGCATATCCGGCGGAAGCGATCGTGTTCGTGGGCATTGCGTTTGATGGCATTCTGGAATGTGTCAATTATGACTGAAGATCCCCGGGGCTGACCAACATACTGCTACAGGCTTCGCAAGCGTTCTGACGAACAGTGATGTGACCTTGAGCGTGAGAGACATGTTTGGTTACGAGAGCGTTTCGGATGTTCGCGGGGAGATATGGAGACAATTGACCGGCGGACGGCTGTGCATCGCAGGCTTCATACAGATAGACGCATTGGACCAGCTGTATAGCAATGTGGTGTAGGATTATTCGTGGTGGTGCGCATGGCTGCAGGTTCGATGTTCAAATCGATGCTGCCTTGCGCTGCCGGAGATCCACCGACGGCGATGGCGATTGACTGCGGGCCCAGCAGCTCCATGACAACGCGGGAGACGTGACGAGACGCATGGCCAGCTCACACGACTAAGTCGAACTCGTACTGGATCGTGAAGCACGATCTCCAGTGCACGCTTGTGCAAGTCGCTGTGCATCGAGCGGACTGTGCCGGGCACCGATTGGCCGACAGCCCTAGCAACGACGCTAACGGGCCCTTGTTTACATGCCATCAACACTCTGCGACTTCGTCCCCGATTTCATCATCTCTCTCCATCTACCTCCACGCCAATGTCTGCCTCGTCGATACACGCAGATGCCCCGCCGGCCGTGGTTCAGGACCCCGAGGGACTCCAATATGAAACGGGATCGCAGCTGGGCAAAGGCGGCTTCGCGATCTGCCATCGCGCAAAGCTGCTGGGCCACGAACACCTCGGCAGCTCTACCGTCGCTTTGAAGATTGTCAAATCCAAAATGGAGCCCCCCAAACTGGCGCAAAAGGTACTGGAGGCTTGGGAGGAAGACATGGCTATTTGCTGACGCGCCGCAGTTTGTCACGGAACTACAGATCCACTCGAAGCTGTCTCATCCCAACATCGTCGAGTTCTTCCGCGCCTTTTCTTTCGAATCAAGCACCTACGTTGTCCTGGAGCTCTGCGAAAACGGTTCTCTTGCCGATGCGATCAAGAAGCGCAAATACTTCACCATGCCCGAGATCCGGCGGTTCATGATCCAGACGTGCGGCGCAATCAAGTACCTCCACCAACGGAACATCGTACACCGCGATCTCAAGACAGGCAACCTCTTCCTCGACCGCGATATGAATGTCAAGGTTGGCGACTTCGGTCTTGCTGCACTACTGGTGTCACAGAGCGACTATGGGGCGATCCGTCGAACAACCATGTGTGGTACACCAAACTACCTTGCACCAGAGGTCTTGGAGAAGACAGGAAAGGGTCACGACGAGAAGGTCGACCTGTGGGCCATCGGAATCATGATGTACACACTCGCGGTCGGAAGGGCGCCATTCCATGCCGCCAAGCGCGAAGACATCTACCGGAAGCTGAAGGCTCGCGAATACACCTGGCCCGACCTCGCCAAGTTTGCCAACGAGATCACTGACGACCTCCGCGACATCGTCTCGCTACTGTTGGTGCACGAAGACGAGCGACCGACCCCCGACCAGATCGTTGCGCACCCTTTCTTCAAACTGGGCTATATCCCATTGGAGCTGAGCAGCGAATGCACCTCGCGGGTGCCGAAATGGCCGAAGAACCGCCCACCAACAGCATCCACGATTAGGCGTGGATACACTGAGGAATGGTGGGCACTTTGCAAGTCCTCATCGGTCGGCGAATACGAACAAGGGAAGGCATTTGGAACCTTCGGTCGCAGAACCAACAAGACAGTAGCAAGAGATTGTCAAAAGGAGATTGAAGCCGGCAAGCAACCAAACATCCCGTTCTCTAAAGATGTCGTCTACGTACCTTTCCCTGCCCGCACGCAGTGGCCTCATCAAGCCCCGGGAGGGCTCAGCGAAATATCGGAAGAGAAGGAATCGTCATCTGAAAGCCAGGCCCTGTCAGAAACTACCGGGAACGAGCGGACAAAGACTCGTGCATCCAGAGCCCCGAGGAGAGAACCACAGCCGATGCAGACATTGAAGGAGAATGTAGAGCCAGCCGAAGAGCCAGAGCCCGCGCACAGGATACTTGACAAACAGCCGACGCGGTTACGAGCAGCTCGCAAGATCTCGAACACTGGGCGTGTTACTGCGAGCACGGCTTCCGCACCTGCGCCACTACGCGTCCCTCGTGAGGCACGAACTTCGACGCGCGCACGAACAGCCAAGGAAACCGCAAAGGAAGCGCCAAAGACAACATCGAACGGACTCCCTGACCTCCCACCTCTAAGAGTCTCCCGAACTAGCGCTCGAGAAAGCGCGAAATCGGAACCTGCGCCGCAACCAACTTCAGCGCGAAGTGCTCCCCGCTATCGGACCGTCAGCAATGACATGCCTGCGACTGACCCAGTGACCGTGTTGGCGCGCTTGATGACATTCCGCGATAATCTTGAACGAGCCCTCGACAAGAAGCCTACAAAGTCAAGAAGAGACCAGCCACCGCAACTACCGTTTGTCGCAAAATGGGTAGACTACAGCCGCAGATACGGAGTGGGGTACGTCCTCAACGATGGTAGTATCGGGACCCTCCTCTCTGCAGAGGATCAATACCCCGTTACGATCGCTTTTGCCACGGACGGATACAATCACCTACGGAAGGCTGGAGGCAACCGAGAGCTTGCCAAAAGCGTTGCGCTCAACTACTACACGACCGTGAAGAAAGATCGGGGACTGTCGGAGATTGAAGTGCTCGAATCGCGACGCATTGAGGAGATCCGGACAGTGTGGCACAAGTTCGGAAAGTACATGTGCGCAACCTTTGGCGACGAAGAAAAGCCGCTCAGAAAAGATCCCCGCGTGAATTTTGTTCGCTTCTACCAACGCCTTGGTAACGTCGGGATCTGGGGTTTCGACGACGGCTCCTTCCAAGTAAGCGCTTTTGCCGATTTTCACAAAGCCCGTCTAACAGTATGTTTAGTTCAACTTCCCCGACCACACCAAACTCGTCTTGTCGTCAGATGCAAGCTACGGGCACTTTTTATGCCTTCCTCTGGATGCGACGTCTCTTCTCGAAGAGACAGGAAACGTGCCGTGGAAGCACGTAAAGGCCAGAGCACATCTTCGCGGTTCATTGCAACAGCTTCTCTACGGCTCAGCCGACAAGGAAGACAGTTACAAAGAGCTCACAGAGGGCAACCTCCTCCGCGCGAAGATTGAATTTATCTATGCTGTCGTGTCGGAATGGTGTCAAGAAGGCGGTCTGGGCTGCCTCGTAGACCCCAAGGTATATTCCTGGGGCGGTCCACAACTAGAAGAGTCCAAGCGGCTGGACTGGGCGAGCGTTGGGCGTTTTGGCGGTGATGTTTTCTCATGATGATTGAATGACGACCTTGGAGCGATGGCGTTTTTGGGATCTGGGATATTTTTATTAGGGGTTTGGGCATTTCCACGGCGTCATCTCTGCTACTGAGCAGTGCTGTTGTTCGAACACTCATTCACGACGGTTTGCATGTTGCTGGCGTTTTCTCCTAGCGATTAGTTTGAATGAGCATCCGGTCACGACCATGAGAACGTTGGTGCCTAATGCCTAAGTTTGTGACACGTCACGAGAAATTATGCGTACGCGGCACACCCGGGTCGTCCTTGTGTGAGGCGTTTGCTGCGACACTTTGATGCGGAAACTGGGCCGAGCCTGGATGGGTTCGCAGCGGCGACGGTGAATGATCAAGTAGTATGAGAGCAGATGTTTTGGGAAGTGACATGGCTACAATGCATGACAGTCTGATGTGTGCAGCCCGACATGAAATGGGGGTGAATGGAGATGACGAGACAATTCCAGCCGCGGCGGCAGCTTGCGCGTACGTCGTACTTGAATAGCTGTGGCTGTGCTGGGACGATGGGGCGAGTACCCTCCGAAGCGCCCGATTCCATCCAGGGCTCTGACGTTGGCCGGTCTCTACAACCGCCGCATTGCAGCCATCTTTACACGCCCTCACCCCCGAGCGACTGCTCCCCCCATACTGGCTTTACCTGGCTTTGCCGTCCATTATTACCAGATCCGCTGCTCCCTGAAATCCGCAGCACACGTACTACCCCACTGGCCGGCTCAAGCTACAGGTCCCAGCTCGACGTCGGGCACCAATCATGGTAAGATGCAGAGAGACTTCGGGGGAGGAACACAGGCTGATACAGGTGATATGTAGGGGAAAACCAACCGCGCCGCGCGCAAGGCCGGAGGCGGCGCTCAGCCCAAGGCCCAGTTCGCTACCAAGGCCGTCTTCGAGACCACCAAGAAGAAGGAAGTCGGTGTATCGGATCTCACCTTGATCAGCAAGGTTTCGAATGAGGCCATCAACGAGAACCTGAAGAAGCGATTCGAAAATGGCGAGATATACGTGCGTCGACCCGCTTGCGCCAGCCCCGCGTCGCACACCCACGCAGCGATAGACTAGGACAGCGACTGACTATGGGCGCAGACATACATCGGCCACGTGCTGGTCTCGGTCAACCCGTTCCGCGACTGTAGGTGACAGGACATGCGCCTCAGAGAGGGATGCTGACAAGTGGCAGTGGGCATCTACACCGACCAAGTGCTGGAGAGTTACAAGGGCAAGAACAGGCTGGAGGTGCGGTGCATAGCTGTCCACCAACTCCCAGGGCTAATGAGGCATAGGTACCCCCTCACGTCTTCGCAATCGCCGAGTCCGCCTACTACAACATGAACGCATACAAGGAGAACCAATGTGTCATCATCTCCGGCGAATCAGGAGCGGGAAAGACAGAAGCCGCGAAGCGACTTATGCAGTACATCGCCAATGTCTCGGGAGGTAGCAATTCATCTATCCAGGAGATCAAGGACATGGTGCTGGCCACCAACCCGCTGCTCGAATCCTTCGGAAACGCGAAGACGCTGAGGAACAACAACTCGTCGCGGTTCGGAAAGTATCTCGAGATTCATTTCAACGCGCAAGGAGAGCCAGTGGGAGCAAACATCAACAACTACCTGCTCGAGAAGACCCGAGTGACGGGTCAGATCGTGAACGAGCGCAACTTCCACATCTTCTACCAGTTCACAAAAGCCGCATCCTCACAATACAGAGGTACGCCCAATCTAACTAGACATTAGACTCGCGCTGACATGCACAGAAATCTTTGGGTTACAACAACCGCAAGCCTACCTCT